GGTTGGAGAGTTCTGTGCCTTTGACATAAATTCATTTTATAATCTAGCTCATGCAATTCGTCTATCTAGTGAAGGATTGGGATCATTGGAAAAACTCCTGGGCCTACCACCGTGGAACGCGAAAGGAAAAATATCTCTTGTGGCAGCCTCTTTTAATCCCTATGAATGGCGACTATTGGACTACAAGAACAGACAGGCTCAAAGGTGCGCCAGCTGTACCTGTGCGATAGCGAAAACGAGGCGATCAGGAAGAAATGGCGGCAACTATAGAAGCTGATTGGCTCATGGGGACGACTAGATGGAACCACCTGCCGTAACATCTGGTTGGCCGACTGACCACAACCGGGAAGGAATCGTCCAATCCAGGAGATTCACTGACCCTTTTGACAGGGTAGTACATTATATAGAGGGCAATATCTATGTACTAGATATATTTCACAACGATGTGTGTATCTGTGTATATACTGAACTAAACCCTTGATTTTAAAGTCGCAGTCGAGTATTGCTGTCTGCAACCCGAATCATTGTATAGCTGTTGATTACTTTCCCATCCAAATTTAGATATTTCCTTGCAACTTTTTGGAAACTACAGAAATATTATGCAAATGAATGAACTCATTCTAAAGAAGCTTTCATGCGTTTACCGCTTCTGTCAGCATTCCTCCGGGGCAGTCTCGGACAAAGCCTTTGTGCCTGTAATGATACACTGTAGATACACACCGTACAAAAACGTCCAGTCCTACCACTGCTTGATTTCTTTTTCGGTAACTAAAATAACACGGTATTTTACAAAACTGTCTATAATGAAGTTATAAATGCAAAAGGTCAAGAATCAATAACAAACTGTTATGGTACGTTGCTGCATTGGACATGCTATTACCATGAAAGGATTATGTTGGAAATTTGGAACATGAGTCCATTAAAACAGGCATGGTTTTGCAGCATGGAACAAAGCAGCGAAAATAACGAAAGAAGGTATTGATCTCCTAATCGAAATTTCCGTTTAATTTCAACTTTTCGTGTGATTGAACGAGGCGGTAAGAAGCCAAGTACAAGGTTTCACATTTTATGGATAGTATGAATTGCTGCTTGTGGCTTTCAACAGGCATAGCGAATCTTCTAGGGTCAACTAACGAAGCTCTGCTGAAATCGCGCAGAGGGATAGCAGCAGCGCATTCACAGGCCTGCCGACGTCCCTTATCTTAAAGCAGATCCTGATCTCTAGGATACTGATCACGTGAGCTAAGGTACAGAACCTCAGCAAGAACTGACGCTTTACGTGGTTTACGTGTACTGACTGCACTGAATGGCATTACGCATGAGACTGCAGTGGATGGAAGTACGTATATTTTGTTCCAACCGCTTAATCAGTGGCCGACTTATCCTCGTTAGGTGTGTGAGTCACGAAAGCAAATCGATGCTACTCTAGTAATCCCTGTTGAACGAAACGTTACTACAGACTGCTTCAGAACAAAGCAATTCGATTTGCGCTTTATTAGTCATGTAGCTTACTCTAACGAAAAATAAAAGAACAATTAAATTGGCATTTTGGCAGTAGTTGCTGCCTTTTGCCTGGTCAAAGCAGTCGGAGAGCTTGAATACAGGCGGATTTGTTCACGCAAGTTCAAATAATTTTTGATATTGTTTTGTCCTCGCCATCTGAGGTTAAAAGAGTTTAAACAGCAGAGAAATCAAGATTTATGATGACTGACCGTTATAAAGAGTACTGCAGATTGATACAAGTCAAGGCCATATTTTTCTTCTCAAGCAGGTTATCCCAAACGAGGTGTTTCCAAAGACTTTGCGACCAGTGCACGGTTCAGGTTTTTGAAATGTTTCCATTCTGATTTAGGGCCATTTTATCAATCCAACCCGGGTACCGGTCCTTGAATTCGTCCTGAAGTTGTTTGGCACCGGCGAACGCCAGCATGTGCTCGTTCGTGACTCGGTGGTACCATAAGCTTGCAGAGACACAGCACGCAGGACTGTTGCAAGCTGTGCCGATGAGTTGCATAACATTTGAGGACAGCAGACGTTTCAAGACTGTACCTCAGAACCGCGAATGTGGCTTCTTTGCGAATGGTAGTTTCCGTATTCGTTTATGTTGCTCGATCTTCTCGCATGCCATATAGCTTGCCGAAATTAGCTTATACCAGTTCAATATGGCGGTTAACTTCAGGACCAGTGCTGCCGTCGTTGGTCAACGCAGTTCCAATATATTTCAGATCGTCCCCCTAGTTCATCGCCATACCACCGGTTAGTGTCCTTCGGCTGAGAGTCGTTGCCAGCGCTGTCTTAATCATTGAAATTGCGCCGCTGACTTGTAACCTCACTCGTAGAACGGTGTGGCAAACCCTTTCGGTGAGTGTTTGTAGGCCATCCGTTTGGTCGATCGGCAGCACGATACCATTGACGTGCTACGGGTCCGTCACTGCTACAACAGGATATTTCGACCTGAATCTCTTACTGGAGGTCATTCTCTCATTGTAATTTACGACAACGCTCATCATCATAACATCGTCGACCATCAACGTAAGATAGAAAAAAGTAAGCATCTCGCCTTGACGAACTCCACTGGCGACAGTAAGCCACTCTGACAATGACCCTTAGATCGGACGTGGCATTCCATCCCTTCGTGCAGGCCTTTAGTCAAGTTAAACCTACTAAATATAGCTAGTCCTAGTTTTAAGGACTTCCTTCATCAAAAGCGGCACTGTATTAACGTTTATAGTTATTACGTCTTCGAACTCCTGTTTACGCTAAACGAAGGGCAAACCAATTTTGTTACCTGCTTCATGTCTCCCTTCATTAATGATCATTGGCGGAAATGAGACTAGCAAAGTTTAATTCCAAGAGCTACTTTCATAGTATCTTAGACATTCTACTCTAGTTTAAACAGAACAGTGTATGATCAATCAGTGTATTATACTACATTATTGCACTTCCTGGCGCATATTCTTGAGTGACCAGTTATACGAGTTCCTTTCTCTCACATTCTTCAAGTTCTGGCGAAGTCTTTGACCTCCCTGTGAAGCTTCACTTGTTTATATATGTTATCACATTGCCCCGACGTCCCTGCTTTTCACTGTATTTTTAAGGAACTTTCAAATTTTAGATTGTATTGCAATTTATGTCATCCGCAAGATCAAACCATCACAGCAACATTAATTTTGTCAGCTTTTCTCTTATTGGAGTTACAACAAAAGGTCCCTATGAAGGCGTTCTCTCAGTGGTCCTTTTCATTGATATCACGCATCCATCTAAGTATTTACATTTTTCTGAAGTTCAGCAGCTGCTCAAGTCTGTTCGACGGTCACACATTCCGCTATGTGCAGCAACACGTGTCTTAAAACTGTTCTTTAGACTTTTATCATTCGTTTCATTGACATATTGCCCATAACAAGTGTTCTGCTCGATTCTCCACGACTTTTTCGATCCATATTTCGATGTTGATTTTCCCATTGTCTTGTAAAATGAAACAAAACAACTTGAATATTAGGGTTTTAGACCAGAGATTGCAAGTCATCATCACCGACTAGTTAGGGGTGAATGTAATAGCGGAACGAAGAACATTATGCAGATAATTAATAAACTCAAATACCCGTTTTCTCACGAAGCAAATTCAGCGCTGTTTATCAGTTATTAGTTCAACCCTGCTGAAGAGGAAAGCCACGAAATACCCTGGGATTCACCGGTCGTCGCCAATCGACAGTCTCAGCGAACCAGAAATTAGGAAGTCAGCTTTACGATCGATTAGGTATATGATTAAGTCAACTGAGCGTTAACACCAAGTGAGTCGGTTGAAAAATTATGACTGCCAACCATACATTGGCCCTGCATCCAGAAAAGCGAGTATAAATCCTTGATGGCGAAAGTGGAGTGTAACTCTACACACAAATCAAAGTTTTGTGTAACGAATATTACTTCTCAGCTTATCATAGAGACTGAAATATTTACTCCCTGAAAAGCTTATCCGTCAAATTCTTGACTGGTATAAAGCGCCGCTAAGGAATTGACAAGCCTTAAGAGCATGGTGCTAAATATCAGAAATCTAGCCAGTAAAGAGTAAATGGAACTTAATTTTAGACAAAAGGCACAAGCCTTGGAGGACGCCGCTAACCATTCGGCTTCGACGGCCGCTTATCCTTCTGAGTCCAGGAGGCAGCAGTCTCAGACAGTGTCTCTACTGTGCTCTATCCTGTGCCAGTATCCTAGTTTTAGCAGAAGATAACAAAGTCTGGAGAAAATTCTGCTGAGGCATTTGTTGCAGATCCCCCTTAGCCTTAATCGGGGTCTTCGGCCGGTCAGTCGAGAAAATGGCAGCGTTTAACCTTCATTTCTAGAAAAATTCTCAAAAGAATTTATTTCTCAAATTTGTGGAAAAATTCCAGCCTAAATCATTGCATCTGTGACTTTCTGTCTTGAGATTCAGCGGCTGTACACTAGGGATTTTCTGATTCTCTGAACTCCAGATCTGCTAAGATCCGTCACCCCAGTGACTTGTCTCAGGTAAACCATCTCAGCCGTTGTATGCTGGATTGTATTCTTTCACTCATGACCCACGACTCATGAGAGTAGGTGAAAATGGGGATAAAAGTCGACTTGGACACAGTCAAATTAATCTTCAAACTCATCTCGTCCTAAGTAACAGCTGTCCGGGCGAGAGCACACACGCAGCATATGATTTCAAACGGCCGGTCGATCTCTTCCTCAAATTTCTCATCGCCAGTAAACACGACTCTGAGGTACTTGGACTTCTCCACCAGCTCCACTCCTCTGTTTATCTGCCGAAGGCAAAAAAAAGCGGAGAACGAGAAAGCATTAGGCTTTTCGTTTGGGATACGTTTACAGGCATGCTGGCCATGTTGGACTCGGCTGCGAACCTTTTTAATAAATGCTGCTTATCAGTTTCAGAAGATGCTAACAAGGCAAGGTCGTCACCTAACAACAATCTTTTAATTTCTACATCTCCTACGCTGATAAACTCATCGCCATGATTGCACTTAACAATCCTACTCATGTACAGTACAAACAATGCATTCTTAGACTAGTGCTCACGCCCAAACGTGGCCACCAATATCTTTAATCCATACTGTCAACATATGCTGGCTGAAAGGCTCATAACAGCTGGTCACCACTACCGCACTTTTGCCGGCACACTCAATGTTTATTGCGCGGAATTCTATATTGGCTTGTTTCAGGTCTATGAAACACTTAACGAGGTTACACGAACTCCAACAATTTCTCAGCGATTGTTTGTAAGGCAAACATCAGCGTGAGTAAAAGCTGCACTGCTCTTCTTGGATCTTGAAATCAAGAACTTTGTGGCACCTCCTTGACTACAAGTCTGCATGGACGTTTTTCAGGGGGACTTGACGCCAGGCACCCAGAGCTGGTGGAAGGGACGCTCAACATTATCTCCCTGCTTAAACAGAGGTTCCATAACCCTAATTCTCGAGTTAATTAATGTCTCTGCCGATACATAAACTGGTATTGCAGTTTGATAGACACATGTTAGACAGCGTGTTTTGTTCGCCTAAAGTTTTAAACATTTTACGGCAGATTTCATCAATTCTAGCAGTCTCTGCATGTTCAAAAGTTCTACAGAAATCTCTTATTAGCAAATATGTTTTCACTCGTGGAGAAAATGGAAATTAAAAGTACTTCGACAAACAACAGAGCTAGAGGGCTTTGAGAAATTGCTCTAAATGAAATTTCCAATATATTTACCATTTTTCTTATTCAAACCGGCGTGAAGCACGGTTTATTTATACATAGCGCATAGGAAATGGCTAATTGATTGGTTTCATCCGAGTGACCACAGTGTTTGCGTTGTGAACGAATATACGGTGCTTTATGCCGTGTTCAATATGCCCATCCATG